TATATATATATATAATAATTCAGGATTACTCTTTATGTAATGCATATTAAGAGAATTTTTTTTATCCATTATCAAATAAATTCCTTACTTCATTAATAGTATTAGACATAAATATCTATTATATTTTCAATTGAACCATGATTCTTATAGAGTCGTTTAAGTTTCAATTCGTGATTATTGCATTTATATTTCCTATATAATTCTTATTATGATGGTTAATTTATTAATGATTTAAAAAATTAACCGTATAAAAACTTTCAAAATCAAAGTTTGCAAGCATCATTTAGTTAATTTTGTGTATCTTAAGGCGTATTTTGTATTATTAAAGCCATTTATTTATTTATATTATTATAATTATTTTTGTATAATTAAGAGTATTATTAAAGTCATGATTTTTCTTACAGGGAAAAAATACAAAGCATAGCATTAATTTCAAACAATTATGATGAAGTACTTTATTATTTGTAAGTATTGCTTAGTATGAATTTTCTCAGAAAATTGTTTTTTAATATATTAGTCAATTTTTCCATTTCATATTTCCATTTCCATTTCTTTTCCTTTTCTTTCTTAGTTTAGTATATTTTTCAGAAACCATGCATTTAAATGATTGGTCTAATTTAAAATGTTAAAAATTTGTAGTCTGAAAACTAAGACCTTATCTCAGATATTATATGATTATTATTGTGGCTCCATTTTATTGGAAACCGCTAATGTATAAAATCGAGTTCACGAGATTCATGATGATCACTTTATGGCTTTATAAAGGTCATATCAAATTAAGGACATGCGGTCTTTAAACTGCTATGAAAATATCGGAGTCCCATTGTTTTACTCGCAGTTAAGTCCCATATCTGAATTGAAATCTCCAATAATTTCGAAAGAGTTTTAAGTTTCAAGAGCGAAGTTTTAAAATTTGCTACCAATTACATTTTTAATAAGTTTTATAATGATCTGTTTTTGAGTAGTTTTAAATAAAAATGTTTCCATTACGTAATTTAAATTTTAGTTACCATTGAGTATTAAATTATGTAGCTATTAATTATTTAACAAAATTAAAAAATACAGAAATTTCAAATTAAGGAAAATTTACCAACTTTAAAATTAACTCATTTAAACTAATAAACTAATTTAATTAAACTAATTAAAAATTAACTAATTAATTCATTCAAAAATAAAGAAATAATCAAAGCAAAGCATGATACATAGAATATTTCAAAGCAATCCCTTAATTGAAAATTTTACTCTGAATATATTTAACATTTTTTAGCATTTTACAAGTTGAGTAACGCAATTCTGTAAAGCAGGTTTTTGATATTGTTTAAGAATTAAGATTATCTATTACACTTAATTAACATAAATATGCTATAACATCAAGGAATATAAGAAATGTTTCGCTTTTTAAAAGTTTTTCTGTTTTAATTACCTTAGTTTAAGTATATTCTGTTTTAATTACATTAGTTTAATTACATTATGTTTTAATTACATTAATTACATAAAAGTTTTTCTGTTTTAATTTAATTACAACAGCTTATTTTAAGTATAAATCTGAAATAATAAATAGTTTCATTACATTAAACAAGCATGGAGTATTAATAACAGGAAAATGTTTAGTATCAATAAGGCCAAAGCAGAGTATTATAGTTAACAAAAAAGTATTGTTATCAAATTTTTTATAAGTACTATTGACGTAAGCAGAACTTATTATAAACTATTATGTGAATTATTTCCTTATGCGTAAACCATGGAAGTATTTGTTTTTTATTTATACATAAATTTTCTTTTTCAGTTTTTTTCTTACAATTTGAGGCAATTTCGGTATCTTGGCGATTTTCGACAAAGATTTCTGGCATGGTGTTTTTTGATTACTGTATTTTCTTTTATTTTAATGCACGGTATTTTTTTATTGAATGTTTCGATGTGCAGCCGTACATGTGGGAGTAAAATATGCATTCCTTACAGAACATATGAGAGTAAAATATACTTGCCTGATTGGACTAAATACATGCCCCGGGTATATCGCGTATTGTAATTTTTGACCCTGGCATCCGTTAAGAACACTGATTTGGACCACATTATCAGCATCGGAATTTTATTATGATATGTATTCATTAGCAGTAGATCAATTTTTATTTCATTAGTATTATTCCTATTTTTTTTCTCTTTTAGGTGCGTTGCTCTTTTCAACAATCTTAGCTGCACCAAAGGTAACAACAACTATAAATAAATAATAAATTTATTCTTTTTGTTGCAAATTAAGTGCCAGTGAATAGATTTTATTGTGAATATGTTCTATTACAGAGAGCGAAAAGAGAAGCCTATTCTCTTCCAGATGGAGCCGACATTTTAGTTGGGGCTATTAAAACTTCGTTTTCTTGCTTCAATGACGGTTACTACGCCGACGTAGACAACAACTGCCAAATCTTCCATGTCTGCCATTCCACCCCAAATGAGGATGGCTCCCAGAACACCCAGCAATGGTCATTCTTGTGCGGCAATCAAACTCTTTTCAATCAACTAACACTGACCTGTGCTGATCCAGAAGATGCCGTTCCATGTCCAGAAGCACCATCATTTTACAATATCAACGACAGAATAAATGCTGGAGACCCCCAACTTTATTTCCTCAATGATGATGATATACAACGAGCTGAACCTTTGCTTTATAGAAATCGTGGTGGAGAATATAACCAAGTTAACCGTCCAGCACCACAGCGAGGTTGATTCATAACTTGACAAAATGATGACCAGAAAACTGATACGGACAACAAGGAAAAATACCATTTATGGAAAACACTGAAGCTATTTTCGTGATTTATTTCTATTAACATAACTCGACTAAATTAACTAAATTATGTAATCAAAACTAATGGTTTTAGACATTGGCTGTTTTAAAAATTCGTTCTATTTTCGGAGATTTTTTCCCTTAATTTTGTGTTTAAAAATTAATAAAACTGATTCTCATATACTTTGAATTGCAAAGACATTACTTAAAGGCCACTGCCTAGAAAGTAACATTTTAGTTTAAGTTTTGTTTTTGTTTTGTTTCGATGATTGAAAACTGTTTACTTAACTATATCCGAAGTTAAAGGCCGCTGTCTATAAAGCAACATATTCCATTTAGTGTTATTTCTTTGTTATACTCTATTTTTGGGAACTGTTATTTTTTGTGAATATTGTATAATCCTATAGTTATGGTATTATGTTTAGTATATCATTGTGCTAAGTGGATGTTTGTATTCACTGTTAAAAAATCTTCGTTAACGTATTCCTGTGATAGTCATAACTGATTCATGAGCTTTTGTTGTTGAGTTAGACTATTTATGTTGCCAAATAAATGTAATTGCAAATTTATGTTTCGTACTTGCTGCTTCAAATTTACTGAAATAATTACCTACTGTACATTTTTAAATGCTTAAAGACCCTTTACTTTTAGAGGTTTCCAATTTTCCAAGATATGTGCGCCAAAAATTTAAAATTTTTAATTTAATAATTTAAAATAAGAATATTGATTGCAAAATTGTTTTTAAACGCAAAAAATTTACAAGCAATCTGATTTGAATTTTTATGAAAATTCAATATTTTTTATCACTTATTTCTTAATAGTTAAAAAATTAATACGTCCTCACTTTCAATTAAATGTAAAAGGAGTAATATTTGAAAAAAAAGAACTAAAAATGCAAAGTGTATTTTCAATGCAATTACTAATTTTTATTTTCGCTATATCATAAGAAAAAAATAATGTTTTAACTTAAAAAATAACGTCAAGTACAATTTTCTCTTGTTTAAGAGAAATATAAATTTTGTATCGTGTAAGAAAGAAAGAATTTGTTTGAACAGAGAAATATGAAGGTACATGGTTAAAGAAAAATAGAAGAAAATTAAACTGTTTTAACATTCAAAAAACTCTTTTTTTATTAATAAAGATCTAATTATTTCATAAGTATTTCCTTTTCTTTTATATGTTTAAGTAAGTACAAGTATAATTTCAGCTAACACTATAAAAGATTATTAATTATTTTTGTTTTATATTAATCTAGCAAAATCTCTTATTGAAAATATTGAAAAAAATAGTTTTATCTCATCCTATGATTAAAATATGATTCGTAGCTAAGATGGAGCCTTTATGGAAGATTATAAAAAAATACAAATTTATGGCTGAATATACTAATAACATTTTTCAAGTTTCGTTTATTAAATTTAATCATTTTCCATTTTTTTCATTGATTTATTTATTTCTTCACTGAAGAAAACAAGATGATCAAAATTACCTGAATAGGAAATTTTACCATGTTTTCTGGTTCTGCACGAACACCAAAACACACGATAATTTTTACCAAAGCACTTTGGTAGTGATGTTCGGTAAAACTAACTATTAAATATGGTATCATTATCATTCTGTTTGGTAGTAAATTTGGTAAAATCTAGCAATTTTATGAAGATACTTTAGGGTGTGGTATGAAAACAATTAATTTGGCTACATTCATTTTTCAATATTGTATTTTTACTAAATGTGTGGTTATAAGAACTATAATTTTGAAAACCAGAATTTCGTGTAAGTTTGGCTTAACCCCGTCCCGCCTCCTGTGGGAGGCATCCGGGGAGGCAGATGATCCATTGAACAAACATAGTGTAGTTTTTACAAGTGAAAGATGATAAATATAATGGCAACAATGAACAGAAGTAAAGATGATCAGCAAGTATAATATTTACAGGAGAATGTTGAAACAGATGTGAAGATGATGGGCACGGTGGTAATCATGAACAGAAGTAAAGATGTTCGATTACACAAACAAAAAATGGTTTTTATATGGGGGGGTTGTGTGACGAATCTACGGTTTCCAATAAGGTAAGGTCTAATTGGCATTATATCCGCGAGCTGTAGCAAGATTTCGATCTGTGTAGTGATTGTTATGCATAATGATTTGACGACTGTGAGAAGTGTTATCTGTCGATGATTTCCGGCGTATGTCTCTCGAAGTGTGACTTGATTATTTCAATGATTCCCTGTTTAATCTGTTTGTTTCTCCAATTTTGTCTCAATTGTTCGTAATTGAACCCGGCAGGGAAGAAGCCTGTTCTTATGGTTTGGTATTCGGGGCATCTGGTTAGTATGTGGTCCAAGTTATCGGTGGTGTTACATGAGGGGCAGTTAGGATCTTTATGATGAAAGCGGGCCTGATAGGTGTGCTGGGTACCGTGATCTGTTAAGAATTGGTTGAGATAAAAATTACTGTTTAATGTACTTGGGTTTACGTTTTCGTGTAAGAATTTCGTGTAAGTCTTTAACGTAACGAATGGAAAAATTACCAAATAAATAATTTAAATTAACGAAGATTTTTCTGTATAATTACCTGTATATGATTGTTTTTACCAGTAATATCTTTTCCATACGAATATGGTAATTTTGCCAGAGTTTTTTTCAGAGCATCTTGCAGTGTAATTAAGACCCCCCAAAAATGGATACATTTATTTTGCACTTGAAAACAATCAATCAATACACTTCCTATTAATTCATTGTTGTTTTCTCTTTAAACCCATATTTCATTAAAAAATACCATAAACTTAAATATTATTTTTTTAAATTTAGATTATATTTCAAATATATAAAATTAATAGTTGTTGAGAGAAACTTTCATTGAGTATGGCGAGAAAGAAATGATATCATAAATGAAAATTAAGGCTATTTTAAAAATTGACATAACCATTTACCATGTATAAAACGTACCTAAATGTCTATCCTAATTATTACATTTCTATCACGATTGCAAAAAATTCAAAGAAATTATAGTTGCTTGACACAAAATTATGTAATTTATCTGCTTTAATACTGTCAAGCTGATTCTGAGAATTCAAAAAGAATAATTTAAGTATAAAACGACCAATACATGTTTTATAATTATTTCAAAACTAAAAAAGCCATAAATATTCGTTCTAAGATGTAATAGCGTAATTAAAAAAATGTTTGGGAGTAATTAAAACGTTCTCTCTAAGTTTTTAATTTTTTAAAACGTTTATGAAATGATATAAGAAGTAAGACAGATGTTTCGTTGCATTAGGAAACAACTAAAGCTTTTTCAAACATGTGATAAGAATTATTTTACTATCTTTAACAAAACGTTTTGATGCAATGGAAGATAATATTACCTTCACACATGTTGAAAAAGTTTTAACTTTTATAAGTAACAAAATTTGGTGGTTTCAAACTATCATTTACTTTTAAAAAACCAATCCTTGAAAAACTTTTTGATACAAAAGTATCTTTTAAACGATAAGTGCACAAGATTTAATGCTTAATTTCTCTAGTAGACCTATCCTACTACTAATCTTGACACAAGAATACCTATTGAGTTAGTCAAATAAAGGCAACCCCTAATGATAACAACTGACATATTTTTATCTGTGTGTTCCGTTAAAATTGATGACTACGCCCACTTAACGTCGCCTAATGTACATTACACTATGCATACGCCCACTTTACTAGCATAATTCAGTTTAAAGATTTACCCAACATTTGCCGAGTTTCTCAAACTTTTACATTACATTACAGAAATATAGTTTTTTTTAGAATCTTTATATAAATGTATAGAATTATAAACTTCCCATTGGAAAAGATTTTATCTCTAAATTACTTTTTATACCCTAAATTAAGATCTGTCTGATTGATTAAAACCAAGAATTATTTTGGAAAATGGGATTTTTTCGATTTCTCAGACAAGTATTGTCTCGGCTTGGTCTGACCTTTTGCTCTCAATAAAGACTGAACTAAAATCTTAATTCTGATTATTCTGCATTTTTAAAATACTACGGATGAAACTTAAAACCGTAGCAATACATATATATAAAATTGCATAGTTTTAAATAATTCAGAACGTACTTATATTTAGCATAGAAGTTTTAGGAACATTGAAGTTACAGTTACCTCAAATTTTTTTTGATTGGGCAACTAACCCATTATGTTAAAATTTCATTAACTTTAAAATAGGCTTTTTGCTTCTAAGCAGGAGATATTCTGTTTTTATATACTTCAAATAAATCAGGAGATTTAGACAGAAATCAAACAAACTTTGAACAAACAATTCTACTTTAAAAACTCCTAGAAAGCCTTATAGTAAAAATTGTTTATGCTTGAAGCAATCATTCATTTAACAAAAAAATTTTTAAAAAATTATATTCATTTTTTATATAATTACTAGCCACTACCCGCGACCTGCTGGTTCGCCTACTCGAACCCACATCTTCCCTGTTCCGCATTGTTTTCCGCATTCACGGAGTCACTGATTCGCTGATCCACATTGATTTATTCATTACTGCTTTATTCTATAAGTTAGTATATTTTAATGAGAGAATAATTCTCTACTGGTACACTTAACCAGCTCTCATTTATTAGCGCTATTTCTCGAACCTCTGTCTCCAAGGAAAATAAAAAAGCCATAGTTTAAGTGCCTTACACTTGAAGCAATGCGGTGATTTCAAACTATATTATCTGGCCACGGAGAATTATTTGGGCTTTAGAACAGACAAATAAGTTAAATACTTTAAAAGTTATTAAACATTTTAAAAATTCGCCAATTTGACGACATTTTCCCACCTCAATGAAATTTATCAAAATCACTTCCTTATTCTCAGTTTTTGCAAATTTTTAAATTGTGAGCCCAGATAATGCAGCATTAGAGTAAATTTTTAAATATTAAAAATTTAGACCACAAACGCTTTTATTTTGAAAAAAATGTGGATTTCTTACATATTAACGTTCTGTGCCATTTTCAAAATAAGATTGGACAGCTTTGGCTTTAAATACGCTAAATTTGTCCTAACAGTCATGAGTAACAGTTACAAACTCACACCAGTTTTAAAAATAACATATTATTCACAAAAAAGCGCTATTTCATATTTTGACAGAGCCTTTGGAAATCAGCCTTTAATTATTTATTTTCTCCACCATTGAACCAGCCACACAGTATTCATGAAAAATGTTATTCAAACTTCACAACATTTAAGCAACGGAGCTTTTAAATTAAGAATACATGCAGTATGAAATGCTTTACAAAAGAATAAACTGAAATTTTCGAATTGCTAGAACTTACCGCATCTCAGGAATAAAATTGAGCAATAATTTAAGAAAGAAGTTTTAAGTTAAAGGCTATTTGTATAAGCTTGAATTGCATTGATCAATATGATTATAGCAGTAAACACGTAGATGTATTAAAAGCTTTTCGCATAAAGAGAAAATAATGTGGCCCACTTTTAGTAATAATTTGGATTATTTTTATATTTTCATAACTGTAAGTCCTTATAAATTTGTCATTTTCAAAATTAATTTTTATATTAATTTTGAATTATAACCATTATTTCCATTTCGCCATAATGTATTTTTTCGTATTTTACCTTATTCACACAACAATAAATTAATATGCAAATTAAAAACAAATGTGTCTGACACGAGACCAATTGAAATATATGAGATTCCCCACTTTATAAAAGAAATTTCACGAAAACAGTTTTTTTACTTAGCACCTAAATTATATAATAAATTACCATTCCAGTTGCAAAACATCCAAATATATTCTTCTTTTAAGCGTGCTTTATTTCAATTTATGATGTACATTGACGATTTAGACCACTATTTTTCACTTTAAAGGAAGCATTTGATTTTTTATACCAGTCTTGTGCCATTCCAAATGAATTTCTTACGTTACCTTTGTTATTTTTTTATATAGTTTCATGTATTTTTTTTTATTATTATTACAGTGTTCAACAATATATGATGTCTTATGATGCGCAAAATAATTCATGATTGTAATATCCCCCCTTTTTTTAAAATTTATAATTTAAATTTATTGTATTACTTTTCTTTGTCGCCTTTACAGGATTTTCCTCTTGATGATGAATATATATTCTTTGTATTTATGTGTTTGTTTTTGTACCCAATAAAGTTATATTAGTTTGTAAAAAAAAATAAAAAAAACTGCTTAGGATCAACCAACTGAAATAATTCGACCATTGTTTTCAAAATTATAGAAACCGACCTAAAGAGGGCTCATTTTCATAAATAAAAAAATCTGTTCCTGTTCTGAATGAATCGCAATTTTAATTAAATATTTGATCCTTTGCATGTGTAAAATAATTTTTTAATTGAATCTAATTAATTGCGATACTTTTTATTTAACTTTAAAAATTTTATAAATTGAATATATATTTATTGTAAACTTATTATCACTAAATTATTTTTAAGAACAATAAAAAATACCTTTTAATGTTGTGCAAAACACTATATTAAATTGAACGTGATTGGGAAGCCAATATTAGGTTTATTGTTTTTCCAACTTTCTTCTCAGATTTCCAATTTCTTGACCTTCACCTTACAAAATTCTTAATTTCACACGATTCACTTTCACTTAGGAATTTAATTGAAATAGACACTGATAATCACCTTCAAGGTCAAATTGCGTGAAGATAGGGGGTAATATACAAGTCGACGACTTATTAAGACCTTGAAGAGCATTGCAGAACATTTTCTCAGAAATAAGCATCCTTTTGAGGCCTCTCGAAGTTACCTGGTGGAATTGTTTCAATGGTAAGAATAGAACTATTATTAATGCCAAAAGTATATAGCTTGAGGATAACTAGTTACCTACTTTTTCATACTGATTAAAAAAGCATAGCAAAAACTGCTAGAAGATGGTAAAATTTACCAGGTTCCTGTCTCTATAGTAACAACAAAAATCTCGGTAATTTTTACCGAAGTACTTAGGTATGATTTTAGTAAAATAACAATAAAATATAATTTTATAATATTTGATAAAACTGGGTAAATGTGGTTAAATTCGATAAATATATTACAATTTAGTAATTTTATCACGATACCTTAAAGCATGCCATAAAAGCCTTTTATTAGAATAAAATTACTTTTGAGTGTTGTATTTTTTACTAAATGTAAAATAGTAAGAATTGTATTTTTTAAAACCGGAATTTTCGGTAAATAGTCTTCATATGAAAGGAAAAATTACCAAATGAATTGTTTAAATACTGCTTATTTTGGTTTTATTAATCAAAATTATGATTTCTTTTTAACCAGAAATTTTATTGTCATACAGTTTTTACTGTCTTTATCTTCCCAGAAATTTTTCCTCTGTGCAGAAAACTGCAGAAGTTCGTCTGCTAATTACAGTATTTGTATACGGATGTATTATAATGCAAAATGCGATAATGTATTGACTACAATACAGATGGTAGTACAAAATGTTTATTATCTATCTTTAAAAAACACACACTTTCAGTTTCACTATGATTTTTAGGTTAAAGAAATAATTCTAATCTTGCACTGTTTTTGTTTGTATATATTTAGCATAATATTTCAAGTGAGCAGATATTAGTAAATTATAAACTTTTGATTTTTTTTTAAATTCTAGAGTTGAATAAAAATGATTTAAAAATTTGTTTTTTTAGGTCTTTAAGCGCAATTACAAAAGAAATACATTACGACAAAATTATCTCTCTTTTTGAAAGTACTAAATACAGATGGTAATTTTGGGTTTCAGCTTTGAGCTGAAAAATATTTTTTGTGTATGCCAAAAAAAAAAAAGAATTTGAAAAAAGGGAACTTTACTTATAAAAGCAGTATTTTTTTCTTAATAAATTGGTAAAAAGCGGTAAAACTTATTTCTGTATCATAATGTTTGTGACGTTTTATAGTATCTATTTAAAATATATCTTTTTTTTGGCAATCATATATTTATTTCTACATCCTTTGGTTTGTGAAATCAAATATATTCCACTAATGAAGTTAGCAGCTTAAACATCTTTTACCTGCCCCATAGCTACTAGGCTATTAAATCAGAAAAACAGTTGGGTTCGCATATCACCCTAATGATCTTTTGAATCGCTTGACCTTGAAGTAGCCACATTAAAAGGGATAGAAACTTAATTAATTGGTATTTCGTCTTACTCAACCGACTAGCACGGTTAAAAGATACCTCGAATGATTAATGGTTCTTTTTTGCTGAAAACATAAAGCTTGACTTCAGACATATTGTGTCTGGGTAAATATATACATATATTTAAAGTTAATAGGTAATGTGGGTAATAAATTAATCCATAGTTTTGTTTTATTATAATCTATTTTTAAGTCTAATAGCCATTTATTAAAAATGTCTTGAACAAATTACGGCTATTTATTTAGGAGAATCATCCTCTTCGGCAATTCATTAGAATTAGGATTTTAGAATTTATGATAAAGTTGTAAAATAAAGTACTGTAATGAAGTAGCACAGGTGCGTTGAAAGAAATATAGTAAGCATTGATGTAAATAATGTCTCCCGATAATTAAAAGATTTTTTTTTTAATTTAAAATAATGTCAACATAATCTTTCGAGTTAGTTTTTTTTTTAATATTGCACATTAAGTTTAATTTATTGTATTCGTTTTTTAATATTACCGTTTTTAATGTTGTGTTTCAGTAATGATTTTTTGAGTAATATCTAGTTTCATGAATGAAAATACTTTGGGTAATATTTATGCTTGTTCGTGTCAAGCGAGCTGATTAAAAGCAAATAAATTCTTGCCAATAGAATGCCTGGTGTTTCTTCTTTCCGTTCAACAGATTAGGTTTGTTATGTATACAGTAATGCCAAAAAAAGGGGAAGACTTTAATGTGACACACGTTTAAAGATGCTGAATGGCAACTAGCGGTAGTTAGAACAACCAGATTTAGAAAATATTTTGACTTTTTTTCTCTCTCAGAAATATGTATCAGGTTGTGAAACATTTCTGTGATTAAAAATCGGTGGAGATCTTCAAAAAAGTCCCTTGATTCTGTCTCTCTTCTTTTGGCTCTGTCTTTTCGCTTGCTGCATGCGCAGAAGTTTGCTAAATATCATCGGTTGTACTGCTATCCATATCCAGTATGAATTTACACCATCGATCGATTGCAATCGGTTAAGTAATTTCAACAATTTCAAGTATAATAAATGCAGCATATTAGAAACCTATATGTCTTTTCGTAAATAATCGTGCTATGGTAATCAAGAACAGTATACTTTGGCTGATGACTTCCTGCCAAAATTTAGCTATTTGTTGATCAATGATGAATGTTTTGATGACAAAACTGAAGTGGATGATGTTTCCACTAATGCCACAATAACAATAGAAAAGATAAAGATTTCTTAAGCAACAGGAGCTAATAGTAAAGCAACAGAACTTAATGCTGTTTTCCATGCTGAAGCTTAGTATTATAACAAACTGTACTCTAAGAAGATACTAAAAGACGTCGATAAATGTGAATAAGTGACTGTTTTTGTTAAGGATAAAGAAAAATAATGAATTAAGTAGGGTTAGTCAGAATCTTGCATGGTTTGTCAGAAATTAAACAAGAACCACTTACCTTTTTCAAATAAAAATTATATAATAATTTTCGATGTTGATTTAAATGCTTCACTTTAAGTATTAACTATATAATTAATGATTTTAAAAGAACTGGCCGACTTTGATTGTTCAATTATATTATCTTGTTATTATATGGTTCAAATATATTATCTTGTACAACATATAAATTTTAATGTTAACCAAACCAAATTCACAGCTGTGCATTAATAATCTAATTCTTCAAGCGTTCAACCAATCCTAACATCTTAATTTGTTTCAAACAATATATTAACCAGTTTTCCCCATCTAACTATTGCCAGGGCCGGTACTCTGATTTCAATTTTAACTATTTATTAAATCAAAAACCCACCGAAAATATGAGATCGGCGAATTTCAGCATAGTAGGAGTCATTTTTTCTTTTAACAGTGCGCAATTCTAGTCTTAACTGAGCAGCCCCAGTTAAGCATTCTATTAATTTGTCTACGTATTTCTTTCTCCTGACCTTTTCCATTTCATTTTAAACTTCTTCTGCGCATTATAATATAGGGCGTTGTTTTTTCAGTTTTTAGTGTTTTCTTTTCCTCTACTTGCTTTTGAAGTTGATGCTTGACCTGTGACTTAGTGAGTTTTACTGATGATTTTGAATGATTTTCTTTTCTTAATTTGTTAATTATTTTGAATGTATCTTGTTTTTCCTGGACCTCTATACAAAACCATCGGGGTACTGAGGGAGATATTTTAAGCATTTGCTTCTCCCTCAATTAGAAATGGTTTTGTTTTTAATGGCTACCGAGGCCGGTACCCCCTGAAGACGTCGGCTTCGGTGGTCATATTTTTATTTTTATTTCATTCGTTTCTTTTATTGATACTTTTTTCTGAAATTTCTGCTGCTTCTTAGCGCGTTTTTTTTTCAAAGAAGTTTTATCCTTTTCGAATTTAATTATTTGTGTTTTCGTTCAGTATTCAATTTTAACTATTTATTAAATCAAAAATCCACCGAAAATATGAGATCGGCGAATTTCAGCACAGTAGGAATCATAAGTATTAAAATTATTTCCATCTCTGTGGTGAGATAGGATAGAAAATTTATCCCAAAATGCTCCATTGCGTGGTGTACTACTTTCTTACGCACCCCTCAAGCAATAATTTGAATATCATAAAATGTATATGAGCTATTTTATTTTATTTCATTTTATAACTGTCTTTGAACAGCAGATCGAATTTTCAATTTATGCTTACCAAACTCTGTATCCATGTAAGTTTTAACCCAATCCAGAAGACATGGGAACTCCTGGATCAAGTATTGGAAGAAAATTGCCTTCGTGAAAGACTTTTTGATGGAAGTAAGCCACATTGGCGTTACATGGCGACAGAAAAAAATACACCAAAACCTCATACGGTTACCCTGACGGCAAAGGAACTCTAACCCATGATCCGTCTATCACTGAGGATATTTTTCGTCAGCACTGTGGTCGGTGTGATCCGGGTGCGGAATTCGAATCAACCAGTCATTGCTGGGATCTGAACCTCGGTTCACCTCATTGGGAGGTGAACGCTCCATGCTTTAAGACGCCACGGCTCCTTCTACTCGAAAAATACAAGCTACGTCTTTTTCTTTCTACTTCAATTATTTCTATCGGGTTTATAATTACACTAAAGATTGGTTAAACTATTATTAAATACATCTCGTTTTCTTTAAATACAGGAAAACTACTCAAATGAAAAATAACTAGTCAAAGGGGTAAGTAACAAGAAAGAATGTATTATATCATCATGATGAATACTGGACAATGGATAATAATACTACTACAAAAGATGTAGACGTCTTTTTACAGGAAACTTTTATGACGGTTAAGGTTACAATTGACAATTAATGATGCCATCTAGTGGTGGTTTCTGATTTTTCCTCAACGTCCCCAATAATTCACATGAATGAGGCACCATAGCACCGTATATGTAAAAAACATCTACAACCATTTCAGAAAGAGTCAAAAATAAATATAAATAATAACTTCATAACTAATTTTTTATTTTTATAAAAATGCAAAATTATTCTAAATAAATACTTAAAGAATAACTAATTTTTATTCTATTTAAACTACTATTTAAGACAATCTAACAAAATAAATAATTACTATGATGTTGCCGATAAAGAAATATCCGAGTTTATGGGACGATGTAAAAGAAATATGCATACATTATGTGCTTTTCTC